TGTCCAGTTTGGAACAGGCACTCTTCTCACCAGTGCCTGTGTATTCCTATTTTATTTATTTATTTTTTGGTACCAGGGATCAAACTCCAGTCCTTGCACTTGCACAGGAGGCGACAAAACCACTGAGCTAAATCCCCAGCCCTCTGTATTCCTATTTTACATAGAGTTAATAGGTTGCCTTGTCTTGAGTTCGGCAAATGGGCAGGAACGAGAAGCATAATCATGTAATTACCAATGTTTGAATCTGTCTTGCCTGCCGGGAACCTTTAGTAACTCCAGAAACTGAAGCTCGGAGAGGGATGAGTAACCTTCCTGGGCACACCCAGACACATGAGGCAGCCTGAGAGACAGTGGATCCAAATCAGCATCATATGGACTGGGGACTTCACAAAGAACCAGTCTGGGGCCATCTGTATGTGCAAAGGGGAAGGAGGATGCGTCCTCCGAATCTCTCTGCTTCCCACAGATAGTGCAGCTCTGATACCGATGTTCATACCAAAAGGTCATTCGTTGAGTCCTCACGAGAAAGTACTGCCTGGATCTAGCGGTACTTGGACAACTTGGTGAGTCCTAGCTTTGTCCAGGACCTGTGACCTTGAGCAGGCTGCTTAACAACTCCGGGCTTCATCCCTTCCTCAGAAAGGTGACGACTATCGGTTCAGCCAAGAATCTCAGACATTCTTTTTTGTTCCACGAAGGTTGGCCCAACGGCTATCTCTTAGAGGACCTTGGTTATGGGACCCAGATTCCGTTCAGGGCCGAGAGCGCCACCTGGTGATTCAAGTTTGTAAGTGAGAGTTTTCACTTCCTAGGCCCAACCACTGTTTATAATTCGGGTTTTTTTGGTACCTGGGATGGAATTTGGGACCTCGCAAGGCAGGTGGCGGAACCACTGAGCTAAATCCCCGGCCCTATTTGTTTTTGTTTTTAAGACAGGGTCTCACTAAATAGTTCAGGCTGGCCTTGAACTCACTTTGTACCCCAAGCTGGCTTAGAACTCTCAGCAATCCTCCTGCCTCAGCCTCCCAAGTGCTGGAATTACAGGAGTGCTCCACCATACCTGTCTATAATTCCAGTTTAGACCTGCAAAAATGTGTTTTTAACTTCTTAGAATATCTTTTATGGTGCTGTGAATATGTGCATTTTCCCAGGAGGTTACATAACTTTAGGTTCTTAATTTTCCCACTCTCAACACAAATTTAAGAATCACTATTGTGTGCCTGTGGTCCCAACCTGGGAGGCTGAAGCAGGAGAACCACTGGGTCTCATGAGTTTGAGTTCAGCCTGTGAAATACAGGAAGACCCTTTCTCAAAACAATAACAAAACCCCCCATAACCCTATTACTTTAAAGAAATGTTAGGCACAGGAGGCATTCCTTTTATAAACACAGACTTGAGGCTATGATATTCTTTGGAAAGTTATTTAACCTCTTTGGGCCTCAGTTTCCTCATGTGTATAGTGCAGATGAGAATAATTCTTACTTCAGAGCTTTGCTTAAAAGCTAGAAGGGCTCATGCCATTTTGCCTGGCCAGAGCAGACACTACCAGATAGTGAGGGCTGGACATGTAGCTCAGTGTAGAGCATACGCCCAACATGCAAGGGGCCCAGGATTTGATCTCCAACACTGCAAAAATATAAAAAATAAAAAAGGACCATATTGTCCTTTTCTGTTGTTGTAATAGAATGAATATCTGAGAACTGGGCAATTTGCAAAGAAAAATTTAGGCCAGGGATTTAGCTCAGTGGTTTCGCCCCTTGCTGCGCAAGCGCAAGGACCCGAGTTCGATTCCTGGTACCAAAAAAAAAAAGTTTATTTGGCTGACAGTTTTGGAGCCTAGGATGCCAAAGAACGTGGTGGCAGCTTCTGGCAAGGGTTTTCACAAGTTCGATCCCTGGTCCCCCCCCCCCCCCCAAAAAATGGTAGGAAGGAGGAAGGGCAAGAGAGTACAGGAGAGAAACAAGCACAAGGGTTGGATTCCCTTTACAACAGTGGTCTCACCTGTAATCCCAGAATTCTGGGAGGCTTGAGGCAGGACTGAAAGTTCAAGCCCAGCCTTAGTGACTTATCAAGACCCTGACTCAAAAGAACAAATCGAAAAAGGCTGGGGTATAGCCCAGGGTGAAGGCCTTGGGTTCAATCCCAGTACCTCAAAAGGGCAGCTGGCTCTCATGACGACAAACTCCTGCTAGGATGATGTTAATCCACTCAGGAGGGGGCAGGCTTCGTGCCCTACCCACCTCCCCCTGAGTCCCAGCACCCAGCACTGCCACATTCCGCATGAACGCTCCCACTCGTGAACTTCCGGGAACAAAGTGCACGAGTTGTGAGGAAACTTTCAAAATCTTCCAGGACATCAGCAATCAGCTGGAAAAGCAGGATGTCACTTAGGATCATGCCTCCCAACACTAGCTCTATCTACCAGGTTAGTGAGACTAAGTTCTCCTGGACCAGGAATGCAAGACTCTTAGGACTGAATTAAGTTTAATACGCTTGTTTCTGAGAAATAGTGTGGAACTTTCACAGAGTGGAATGGAGACAGGATGGAAGCAAATAATGATCAGGTGCTGAGGCCCCCAGCAGTTGGGAAAGCCTAACTACATATACCCAAAGGAGTTTGAAGTCTGAAAAAGGAAAAATACCTGCATAAAATATTTCATGAACAAATTCCAGCCAGATACCTTGGCATAAAGTGTGCTTTGACCAATCTAACTAGAGAGGCAGGCTTTTAAATGTCACTTTGTTTATAGTAAGTCACCAAGGAAAGCAAGAACAATTTCTTTTTTTTCCATTAAGTTTATTGGTACACTTTAGGTATAAAATACAGTTACATTCATCATTGGGATCTTGTACCATTACATGAGTATCTTGGTTCTTATTATTTTCCCCATTCCCCTGCCCTCCCTTCACCCGCTAGCAAGAACAATTTCTTTGCAGAAGACAAATACAATGTTGGGCAGGGCATGGAAAAAAACTGGAAGGAGCTGCCTCTGCTCCTCTGAATCATTTACTGGCTTGAATTTTCATTGAGTGTCCATCAGTTAATGAATGAGCAAACAAAATGAGGTATGTTACACAGTGGAATATAACGCAGCTATTAAAAAGAAATGAAAGCCAGGCGTGGCAGTATATACCTGTAATCTCGGCACTCTTTGAGGCTCAGGCTCGAGGATCACAAATATGAGCTCAGCAACATAGTGATTTAGTGAGACCCTGACTCAAAATTTTAAAAAAGACTTGCTTTTTTTCAAGAGGCTGAGGCAGGAGGATCACCGTTGGAGTTTGAGGCCAGCCTGAACTACAAAGGGAGACCCTGCCTCAAAAAACTAAAACAAAAAACAAAAAAATGACTTTCTTTTTGAGTCAAGGTCTCACTATGTACTTCAGAACTCCCTAAGTAGCCCGTGCTAACCTCAAACCTGCCACCTGCCTCAGGCTCCCTAGTGCTGGGATTACAGGCCTGTGCCACCACATCTGGCTACTGTCTCAAAAAAATAAAAAATAAAAAAGGGCTTACATACCTCAGTACCTCAGTGCAAAAGCCCTGGGTTTAATCTCCAGTACTGCAACCAATCAATGAGTAATAAATAGAAATGGAGTACTGACACAGGCTACTACATGGATGAACCTTGAAAACGTTATATTTATGTGCAAGAAGCCAGACACGCATATGTTGCTTGATACCATTTATATGAAATGTCCAGAAGAGACAAATAGATTAGAGTAGATTAGCGATTGCCAGGGGCTGGAGTGGGAAGTTGGGGAGCTGGGTGACAGCTAAAGGGTAAGGGATTTCTTGTGGCGTGACGGGGGGGGGGGATCTAAAATTGATGGTGGTGACAGTTCTACAACTCTGTAACTATATTAAGAGCCACTGAATTATATACTTTAAGTGAATGGATTTAATGTGGATTATATCTCAATACGCTGGTACCAACAGAATTCTTTTATTTTGCTTATATAGCTGGGTATTTCAATAGACACACCCTCTATTGTTACCTAAACTTTGAAAACACAAGTGTTTAGTGGCTGTGTAATATTCCAACTGCACACATGAGATAACCAGTGAAGACTGTAGCTTCCACAAGTTGGTGAACCTGGTGGTTCCTGCGAAAGAGGACTGTGGCCAGGGGAGGGGTTTCAAGATAAAATTCCACTGTAAAATTGCTTAGATTTTTGGTTTGATTCAATGTTTTAATTCCCAAACACTAGTGAAGTGTCTGCAGTCTGTCTCATATATCGATCATTTTATTTCCTCATTTTTCTTTTTCTTGTGTTCATCATTTCAAAAAATTTCCATCGCGGTAAAATACACATGACATACGACTTAGCATTCTAGCCATGTTCGAGTATTCAGCATACATAAATTCACATTGTTTTTATTTTATTTTTTTTGGTACTGGGGATCAAACTTGGGACCTTGCGCTTGTGAGGCAGGCACTGGAACCATATAAATTCACATTGTTATGCAACCATCTCCACCATCTATAAAATGAAAACTCCACACCCATTAAATACTAACTCTTCATTCTCCTGTTTCTCTAGCCTCTGGTCACTACCATTCTATTTTGTTTCTAGGAACCTGACCATTCTAAGAACAGAAGTCTCTCAGTCTGGATTCACGGGGATTAGTTTCTGCATGCACCGTGGGTACCAATACCCATGGATGCTCAAGTCACTTGTATAAAACAGCACAGTGTTTGCTTAGAACCTACTCACATCCTCCTGTGTACAGGTTACATCATGTCAGGTTACTGATGCTACCTAACATAATGTAAGTGCTATGGAAACAGTTGTCATACTATATTATTTAGGAATAATGACCAGAAAAAGGTCTGTGTGTGTTCAGCACAGATGCAATGTTTTTTTTTTTCTGAATAGTTTTTATCCCTGGTTGGTTGAATCAGCAAATATGGAACCTGTGTATACAAAGGGCTGACTGTGCCTCATATAAGTGGAATCTTACAGTGTTTGTTTCTTTCTTTTTCTTTTCTTTACAGGACTATTTCAGCCTTGGGGACCCTCAGGTGCAGCCTGGTGACAAGAGTATCCAAGGGAACAGAGGTAGGACTTTGGTCACTCACTGCTCTGGGACTGAGGCACCCAGAGGGATGTTCCTGGGGCCCTCTTTCGGAGGCCCCCAAGAGAATATTCTTAGGTTGAAGGTGAAGCAGGCTGTTGCTAAGGAACCTTTCAGCATCACCCCTAGGGAGGGACACAGATGAGCGGAGAAGAGGGGCAGAAATAATAGATACAAACATAGGTTACCTGAATTTCCAAAGACCCAGATGTAGACGTGTTGGCTCCAGAGTCAGGTGGGAGCTCCCATCTGTTCCTTCCTCCTAGACTGGTCAAAGTGAGGTGCTGGGGCTGGGGGTTCAGCTCAGTGGTGGAGCCATTGCCTAGCATCATGAGGGTCTGCACCATAAAAAACAAAAAGAAACAAAATGGTGCAGCCTCAGACCTGAGTTCAAACCCTGAATCCATTTATTTGCTTTGCGATGTGGCCTCTTGGAGCCATCTATAAATGGGAAAGATAACGCATACTTAGCGGTGTGAAGGACGCTGAATAAACTAAAGGATGTAAAGTACTTAGCCCAGAGGGAAGATAAAACAAAAACAGCAGTGCTGACAAGGAGGTGGGGGTGCCCCATTCCATGGTTGTATACAAGACTGGGGTTTAGGAGCCCTGAGCCAGTGGCACCTCAAATGACAGATTCCAGAACTGTACCCTAAATCTGCAAAGTCCTGTGTTGACTCCCCTTAGATACATCCACTCCCTTTGATCTTACAAACAGTCCTGGGAGGGGGACTAGGGTAGCAGGAGGCTCTTCCCTTGCCCAGGACCCCATGATGAAGCCCCAGTTCGCTGGTTGCTTCTAGGCAGATGCTTTCTACAGTGCAGAGCAGCCTGAAGTGCAAGTGGGTGGCAGGGAAGGGCCTTTCCTAACACCACGCCGGGACCAGACCAAGGGGCAGGGCTCAGGGCAAAAACTGATCCATGGCCGCTCAGCACTGAAGCCTTTGTATCTGTGATGAGATTGGAACTGAGGTAGAAGAAACAAAGAGGTAGAAAGGAGACAAGGAAAATAGGAATTTTAGAACTGTACTTTAAAAAATAAAATAAAATTGCGCTTTTAAGAAAACTTCAGCTTCAGGACACAGTCAAAGGTACCTAAGGCTACAGTGCCTTTTTCACCCGTAGGCCTCTTTGGTTCTTCCAGGACCCTCACTCCTAAATTCCTAAGTCTTAAAGATATAATAAATCTGTAAACTGGGCTTGTGGTTTTCTTCCAGTACTATAAATCTGTGCATTCTGAAGATGTTCACTCTCAAAAAGAACAGTACTATTAATTCTCCACCATATCTCTCAACTTCAAACACATACAAAATTTGCATTTTATTTAATCTACTCCATAAAGCCAGTTTTGGGTTCAGCCCGCTAATGAGCAACCTGACCTTAAGGACACAGACGCTAGATAAATAAGTTAAAAAAAAAAAAAAGAAATTTAAAAAAGGAAAGAAAAGCATCCCAGGTCATGTGTCGTGAAGATATCCTAAAACCACATAAATCCCCCAACCGCAGACCATAAGCCCCTTGCTCCTCAAACACCACACTTTTTTCTTAGTGTGTATTTTTTTGATTCTGCTTAATAAATCTGCCTTTACCTTTCATTACCTGTCCTGAAGTGCTTTTCTGTGACAAGTCGGCACACCTACTTCATGGGAGAGTGTGAGGGGCAAGCTGAGGTCTCCCTTTCCTCTTTGAAGGAACCTGCTTCACCTGACAGGAGTTGGAGTCAGACAGAGCAGGTCCTGGCTTTACCATCAACCACCTGTGCTGACCTAGAGTGGAACCTTCCAGAGCGCTAGAGTTTGCCTTCTAAACAGGGATAGAGAGTGATGCCTTAGGTCTGAGGGTCGCAGGGAGGCTCCAGCCAGATTAGAATTTGACACTGATTCAGCAGATACGTCCAAGTATCCACTCTATGCAATTCTCCCGCCTCAGTGCCATGAGTGCCATATAAAGTTCAAGATCCTCAGTTGAAAGCTTGCCCGTTGATTTTATTGATAGCTTGTTTACTTAGGCGAGGGTTCGGGATGTTTGCCAGGAAACCTCTGGAACTACAACATCAAACCCAGTTAACTGGATGTTAATATATATTCATTTATTCAACAAATGCACATCAGGTGGCAAGTAGGTGCCAGGTCCTGGGAAACAGGTCTGTTTGGGATGGAATTTCCCTTCCACCACAAAAGATAAAAACAAGAACCAAAGAGGGAAAATCTAGCCAGGAGTCAGCTAAAGTTAAAATCATTGAGCAGAGTTAAAAAAGGAATTGCGAGCTTGCTGGCTCCGTTCATTAGGAGAAACACACTTTGGTTTTGTTTCACTTGTTTCAAGAGGATTTTCTCATGGAAGAAGTACTTCAATAAGGAGCTTTTGGACAACAGAATGAGTGATTTTAATATCAATTTTTTCGTTTTCCCAGTATTTTATAATAAACATCCTCAAACATGCATGCACAAAAGCGAAAAGAATGTGCACATCACATCCCCAACCTCCTCGAGCCTATCATGAGTATTTTACCGCACGAACTGCATTTTTTAACAGGAAGTTTCTCCCTGGGCCGTTTTCAAGCTCTGTTAGACTTTTGCTAAGGACGCAGCAGCTGCAGTTCCCAGAGGACTGAAGGGTGGGTTGGGGCCATGGTGGGGAAGAGAGGGAGTTGAGCCCGAAGGTAGCTGTCCCGGAATCTGCCAGGGTAGGGATGGGGTATGAGCAAGGGAGGAAAAACATCCAAAACCAAAACTCTTTCGAAACAAGTCTGGTCCACTGCTGGGCCCCCGCTCTTACTGTGTGGTTTTAGCCGGCGAATTCGAGAACCCGAGTCTCCTGGCGGCGTCTGGCCGGAAGTCTAGGGATCGTCTTTCTCTTGCTGTCCTGCAAAGTGTTAGAAAAGGCAGCGATGGCGCTTGCCCCGCCGCCCAGGAAGGCGAATGACAGCCCAGACCAGCTCGGGTGGAGGGGATAGCCCGGGGCGCCCTGCACGCCGCGGCCGGGGGGGCCAGTCCCTCCGGTTCGTGTCGCCCGCGGGCCGGGCCGAGCGTGCGTCCTGCGGCAGCTGCAGAGCCCTGTCCTGCCCCGCTGTCCCAGCGCGTCCTGGCCGCTGTCCCGGGCGGAGGGGACTCAGGGACATTTCTCCCCTGCTCGGCCTAGCCTGAGGGACTGGGCTCGGCGCGCCCTGTGCACAAAGCCCTCCTCCCGGGCCAAGGTAGAGGAAGTTGGGCTCGCGCCGGCACGGGAGGCGGGAGGGAGCCCGCGCCTGTTGTTTTCCGTCAGCGAAGCGGGCAGGCGGGCGGAGGGGGCCGAGGGGGCGGAGTGCGCCTCCCTCCCCGGCCAGCGCTCCGCCACCGCGCGAAGCTCCCGGCCCCGGACATCGGCGCACCCCAAGCATCCTTCCTTCCCGGGGGCTGCAAAAAGCGAGGCGCTCTGCCCAGCCGAGGACCCGGGAGGAGCACCCGGCACTCCAGGGGCCGGATCCCTGGGGCGCACCCCCAGCCCGGCTGGAGCCTGCGCTTCCTGAGCCCGGATCTGAGGCGAGATGGCCGCAGGCTGCGGGGCGCCCGAGCCCCGTGTCCTCCTCTGCCTCGGGGCGCTCCTGGCCCTTTGGGTCGCCGCAGGTAAGGGCCCTCGATCAGAAGGGGAAAAGTTGAGTTTTCCCAGGCAACAATGGGGAGGTGACAACCAGAGCCCGAATTCCCTTCGACTCCGCCCGGAGCCTCCCAGGGGAGAATCTCAGGTTCCTGCTCGCAGTTCGGCGCTTTGCAGGAAGGAATTTTCCCGGGCGCTCTAGGGAGGGCGAGATGCCCCAGCTTCCCAGGGTGGGCGCCCGGGGGACCGCAGGGAGGAGTGCTGGGGAAAACGAAGAGGCATGTGTGAGGGGAAAGTGATTTTTTTTTCCCTAAGCGTCGGATGTAAATCTGCGTTCTGGTTTTACCTGCTGCGCTGGTGCATAAACTGCAGGCTCCCACTTTATTTTCCTCTCCTCCCTCTGCCCAAGGTTAACTGACCTTACACCTGTAACCTGTGGATTTCCCTACAGAGCCGTCAAGCCTGGTGTGCCCAGTAGCGAGTTCAAAGCCATGCTTTCCTTCTTTACGCTTTCCTTTATAAAACAACTTTTTATTTTGAAAAAATTTAAGAGCGAAAAATTTCCCTCACACTAGACACGATTGACAAAAGGTCTTAAATGGTTCACCTATACTCTGCTTTGTTACAATAAAATAAGAGAAGGTTGCTTGCAAAAATATGTGAAATGTGAAAAGATTGGAAAACACTTTCGAGTGTAATTCACCAGCTCATGCATATGTACTGTGTGCAGCCAGCGTTACAAGCAGGGAGGAGACAGGAGACGGGGTGGAGGGAAGGGAGATGAAGCCAGGAGACAGTGCAGTTTGCCAATATGCATGTGGATTGAGTTCTACTCTCTGTGTTCCCCAGTCCAGCCCTCCCAGCTGTTCTCTTGCAGGTTCCTGAAGGAAAGTTGTAAATTTCACCTGAGCTTCCTAGCGGCAAGAGCCAAAAGTTCCTTCTTGTTAGGCTCTCACAAATTTCTGTTTAGTTTTGCTTTTAGCAGTTATATAAGAACAGCTAAAAAAAAAAAAAAAAAAAAATCCCCAAACCTAAGTCTGGCAACACTGTGTTTGCTTTTCTGGCTGGAACTGAGCAGTAGCCATCCTCTTTTATCTATGGTTTGTGAGCCCCAAATTTGTCCCGCCTTTTCCATGTTGTAGTAACTTGTCCCTGGCCTGCTTCAGACAGGGGCCTTACCTGTTGGGCCCTCCAGGCATTTGACTGGATCGCTTTGCTGGGGAGAGAAAAAAAGGATGGGAATGAAAGGTGATTGTCCAGTATTCCCTTGTCTTAGTTTGCAGTGTTTCCTGCGCTGTGCACAACCGGGCTGAAATCCTACTGGTTTCCAGGGTGACCGCGTGGGGAGCCTGCCTCACTGCCTGGCCTGGTTATTTTGATGCCCAGGCCTGCTTCACCTGTGCGAACAGTGCCGGGGGCTTCCTGGGCTTGCCATATTTTTGTTGTTTTTCTAGTTGGGAGTTGTTTTAAGAAGGGCATATTCTCCTGACCTCAGCTCTAGAGAACTCTGAGGCTTCTACTTGTCACCTCCATGATGTACCCCAGGTCATTAAAAAAAAAAATTCATTCCTGTGTTGTTAAAACAGTTTTCAAAGTTTGAATTTCAGATTTTTCTACAGCCATTCAAATAGTCCCTTTCCAACATCTTATAGTTGGAGTCATTTTTGGAAAAGTTGCTAGGAAAAGATAAACATGCAGATGTAACTCTGAAAGTAATATTACAAGGGCAGTATCAAGAGAATTTGTATTGCTCCCTCTTTTGTTCCATATTCTGAATTTCAGGTTGGAAGACAACAAAGGGCTCCCCAGACACCATGTAAATGATTTCTAATCCCTGTGACCTGGAGCACTGGAGACTATGACAATCCCACATCTCCCAGTGACTTCTGTGGGACCTTAAGTAAATCACTTGATTTTCCCGAACCTCACTTTTTTCTGTAGTAAAACCAGAAAGTATGGGAGTATCTCTCCTGGAACTAGTGTATCTGTGAGAACCACTCTTTCCGTGTCTGTGCCAGACATTGCTAATCAACAGCTGTGTTCTCCACTGAGCCAGGACTCACCCTCAGACACATCTCTGGACTAGATGATCTCTAAGGTCACTTTGAGCTTCAATAGTTAGAAAAAAATGGAGTGGGTAGAGCCAGGAGAAGAAGTTCCATGTCTTTAAAGGTTTCTTTTGTGACCATGTCATTCTTTTCCTTGGAGAAGATGATGTTAGCTCAAGTTCCAAGATTAAAGTTTCACCTGGGCTTTTCCAAGCCACTGTCCCTTTTTATTCCTTTGCCAAGGAGTCGAGGGAAGGGGCAGGTCTGCAAGTCTCAGGGACACACACTGCGTCTATCTCTCTGTAGTCCATCCTCCCCTCCTCGGTGGGGATTGCCACCTGAGAGCTTGGGTTCTCCCAAGCTCTCACCTCCTTTTTAAAGGGACTGTTCAGAAACATTTCTTGCTATTTGAGAATCTCTAGCATTGGGTGACATTCTGTGGCTTTCAGAGAGTGACTTCGATTTTTTTTTTTTCATCCTGCCCTGGCTTGAAAGTCTTTGGGGGAACAGTGTGGCCAAGATGTTAAGAGAATTAGAACTTCCTTTGGCTCCAGGGTAACCACAGGGTTTTCAAAGGGAGCGCCCCTCTAGTCAGACAAGAGGCCAAATACAGAACTTACTTTTCCTCTTATGAATGAGAAGACTGGGGTGTGGTGGTGCACGACTCCAATCCCAGCACTCGGGAGGCTGAGGCAGGAGGATTACTGAGTTTGAGGCCAGCCTGGGCTACATAGCAAGACCCTGTCTCAAAAAAATAAAAAAATAAAAAAGTGAGAAGACTACCCAGGGTCAGGTGACAGTTTATCTTTTTCATAGCTTTATTATAATTGACATACCGTAAAACCTACCTCTTTAAAGTGTATAACTCACACGGTTATGCAACTATTACCACTAGTTAATTCCAGAATATTTTCATCACCACAACAGGGCCTGCCTGTACTTCTGTCCCGGTGGCCTCTCTGAATTGGGTGTTGATTATAAAGGGGGCTGGAAAGTTGGGATACTTTTCAGAAAAATGAGCTGCTTTTGTTTTACTTACTTTCTTTTAATTAGGGCTAGATGGTTGCTCTTAGCACCTGTTAGTCTTGATTGGGAATTGGAGTCACCTGGGAGGCTTTTTTTTTGTACCAGGGATTGAACTTGGGTCCTTGTGCTTGTGAGGCAAGCGGTGGAACCACTGAGCTAAATCCCCAGCCCCTGGGGGGCTTTTTTTATACTCCCCCCACTGCTACACCTGATTCTGATTTAGATATGGGGAGAGTGTGTGTGTGTGTGTGTGTGTGTGTGTGTGTGTGTGTGTGTTGTTAATAGTTTGTATTTCTTGTTTTTTCCGGTACTGGGGACAGGACCTTGTGCCACTGAGCTAAATCCCTGGCCCTAGTTTGTATTTTTGACAAGACTGATGCTCTGGTCTGAGCTTTTGGTTCCATTAATTTTATTTCTTGATTGATTTTTTTCCTGTGTGGTACTGGGGATGGAACCCAGGGCCTCATATGTGCTAGGCAAAAGCTCTACCATGAGCCACACTCCTGGCCCCTGGTCTAGAGCTTTGAAAGCGCTGTTCCCTCTGCCTGGGCACTGCATCCTCACCTTTGTCCTTCAGCTCTGTTTGCTTCCTGGAAGTCTCTTCTGATGTCTGCCCCAGCTGGATTTTGCAGCCCTTTCTCTGAGCCCTTATCTTTGTGCTCATCGCACTGAGTCGTAACGCCCAGTTTAGTGTCTGTTTGCCCACTGGCCTTTGAACTCCTGGAGGTTTCTTTCTGGCTCAGCATTGGATCCCCACTGCCCAATACACTTGTCCCAGAATAGGAACACTGGTGACTCGGTGAACAGTGAGTAAGTGAGGACTCGGGACTATGTTTGAAGTCAGCCCAAAGTTCATTAATATCAACATCTGGCCATGAATCCTAACACAACTGCGACTCTTTTTTTTTTTTTTTTTGTATTAAATTCTTTTATTGGTACATTGTAGGTATACAACACAATTACATTTCTCATTGGGAATTGTACCTTTATATAATGCATCTTGGTTCTTATTTTTTCCCCATTCCTAGCCCTCCCTTTACGCCCTCCACCCTTCCCTGTTTACAAAGACTTTATTTCCATTTTTTCCATTTCTCATCATGTTTTCCTTTCCCTTCTTTCCTTTCCCCTGTGCCTCCCACTACCCCTACCCCTTTGGACCTTTTCTTCCTATTTTACATTATCGATTATTCAGTCTAATCATTGGTACATTTTAGGTATACAATATAATGACATTCATCATTGGAAATTTGCACCTTTACATAGTCTCTCTTGGTTCTTGTTTTTCACCCTTGCCCAGCCCTCCCTTCAATCCCTCCAGCCCTCCCTATTTACAAAGATTTTGTTCCTGTTTTTCCATTTTCTCATATTAATCCCATTCCCTTCTATCCTTTCCCTTAGCCCTCCCACGTCCTTCCCCTTTGCCCCTTTTCTTCCTATTTCACATGACCTATTATACATTTAGTCCTTATTTACACTTTCAGTTTCTCACACCAGAGAAACTATTTGGTATTTACACATCTGTGTCCTATTTATTTCACTTAAGAGTATTGCCTCAATGTGCATCCACTTAGCTATAAATGTCTCTAATTTCTCATTTTTTATGGCTGAGTAGTACTCCATTTTATAAAAACACCACATTTTCTTTATCCAGTCTCCAGTTGATGGGCATTTGGGCTGTTTCCAAGTTTTAGCTATTACAAACTGCGCTGCTATGAACATGGGTGCACATATATCACTGTGGTATGATTCTTTTAATTCTTTGGGGAAGATCCCCAGCAACAACTGCGATTCTTAAAACCACACACCTGATTAAAAAAAAAATCCCTATGCCGGACTGTCCCAAAAGGGTGGTTATTCAAAGATCAAGAAAGGTAGTAATATAGCCAAACATGGTGGTACATGCCTGTAATTCCCGTTCATTAGGAGGCTGAGGCAGGAGGATTGCAAATTTGAGCTCAGCCTGGACAACTTATTAAGACCTTTCTCAAAATGAAAAAAATAAAAAGGGCTGAGGATGTAGGCCAGTAGAAAGGCCCTGGATCCAGTCTTCTGTACCACATGAAGGAAAGCAGTAACAGCTTGACTTTTCCTTGTACAGGACTAGAGGCTATCATCGTCGGTGAGCTTCATGACAACGTTACTCTGCACTGTGGCAACGTCTTGGGACCCAGGGGCCTGGTGACATGGTACCGGAATGACTCGGAGCCCATCTTCCTTCTGTCCTCCAATGCCAGCCTCACACCAGCTGAGCCTCGCTTCTCTCTAGTGAACGGCAGCTCCCTGCACGTCGGGATGCTGAGCCTGCAGGATGAGGGCAACTATACCTGCCAGGAGATGAGGAATGGGACTCGGTGGTTCCCAGTGTGGCTGCGGGTAGCCAGTAAGTGGGGCTGGTGGGGACTGGGGCTGGCGAAATGCCCAGAGCCTTGGGCAGGCTGTGGCCACAGTGAGGCGCACGGGTGGAGAAGCGGATGGCCTGGATTGCCGTCTGGGCTCTGCCGCTTGTGAATGGAGTGACCGCTTGTACCTGTAGTTCCTCACCTGTAAAATGGGGATAAAAAGGATTCCTGCCTCGTAGAATTGCTGAGAAGAATAGAAGCTGTGCACACAGTGCTTTAAAAGGCTCCAGGCATGTTAGCTATTATTTTTAGGTTATTGTTAATATCATCCTTGTTCATATCATTTTATTATATAACATAATCAAACTGTGAATTCCAGTCCTAAAGCTACCACTTAATTGTGTGTCATCTTGAGTAAGTAGTTTAATATCTGAGCTCCTGTCTGCCTTCCTTACTACTTGGGGAAATACCCTGCCTGCTTGTCGAGTATAGCAAGTGCTTTTATGCAATAGTGCTAAGTACAGGGCTTGGCACGAGCCACTGGGACTGACTGTACTTTACTAAAACAGTATCATAGCTGCTGTAGACATGTAGGGGTTTGTAGACTATAGTCTATGGGCTGTATCTGGCTAGTCACCAGCTGTGCACAAGAGTTTTTATATGGGCCTGCAAGCTATGAACTTTTTTTTTTCTTTCCCCAGTACCAGGAATTGAACTCAGGACTTTGTGCTTGCCACACAGGCGTGGTACTACTGAGCTACATTCCTGGCCCCTCTGTGAATTTTTACACTTTTAAACAGTTGAAAAAAATCAATAGAAGAATAAATTAAATGTGATTCAAATTTCAGTGTCTGTAAATAAGGTTTTATTGGCATATAGCCATATTCATGCGTTTACATATTATCTGCAACTGCCTTTGTTGCTACAGTGGCAGAGGTGCTTGCTGGGACCAGGCTGGTGTCGTCTCCAAAGCCTGAGATGTTTGCTCTCTGGCCTTTTACACACAAAGCGTGGTGGTCCCTGGTTTAGAGGGTTGTCCTTGTTCTGTACCCAAGATATGTAGTTTGGCAGGGATTCCTGTGTGATCCTTTTACTGACCTGGACCCACAAGTTCCTCCATTTGTAAAATAATTTGCTCATTCCTTTATTCTGTATAGATTTATTGGGCACCCAATGCCAGACACCGTTCTAGGCACTGGGCTACAGGAGTGAACTAAGGTAGGAAAGGAGAGAGACGGATGAGAGAGAAGTAAACAAAGATATCAGGCTGGCACGGGCAATGCAGAGAACCGAGGTGGGGTCACGTGATCCTGTGAAACCCTTTAAACTGGGAGGTTAGAAAGGAGCTTTTTTGGAGGTATAGGTTGGGCATCCTTCATCTGAAAATATAAAATCCAAGATGCCCCCAAATCCAGATTTTTGCATTCAGAGTGTTCAACTGATAAAGTCTGTGTAAATATTCTAGAAAAAAATCTGAAATCTGAAACACTCTGCCAAGCATTTTGGATAAGGGATACTTAGCCGGTGGTGACATTTAAGCTGAATGTAGGAGCCAAGCATAGACAAGGAGGGAGCAATGCAGGCAGAACAAGTGCTGCCGTGAGGCAGGCAGTGTGATAGGGTCATGGATGGGCAGAAGCCCAGGGTGACAGCTGCCTGGTGCGTGAGACAGGAGGGTCTGTGGTATATGGGAGGCTGTGCTGGACCACACAGGCCAGGTTGGACCAAGGTTCTGGGTTGAATTATGTCCCAACGAAAGATGTGTTTTGTTTTGTTTGGTTTGGTACAGGGAATCAAACTCAGGACCTTGCGCTTGCCAGGCAAGCGTGGTGCCGCTGACCTACATCCTTGGCCTCCATGTTTTGTTTTGTTTTTTTAAACTAAAAGAGCTGCCAGTTTTACTTTCACATTTCACAATACAAATGAAACTGTACTTTCTGCACTTTTGTTTATCCTACTTCTCCCTTCAAAACTCTTCTGTGTTTATAGGAGGGGGAAGCGAGTCTTCCTTGTCATGCTGTTAGAGAGCACCAGAGTCACAGCACCATGATCTCCTGGTGAAGTAGAACAAATAATATAAAACTGATATAAAGAGGCTGGCCCTCGAGCTTTGTCTGGTCGAGTCATTCCTGGCCAAGTGGGCACCATCATGGCCAAGCTGTGTCAGTGGAGGCCCAGGCATCATTGGCATGTGGCTTCCCATGGGTGACATCATCTCGGGAGTAGGGGGCTCATCAGAGGCATCGTGGAAGGGCCTCCCATGTGAGGTACTGGTGTTAAGCCAGGGTGAGGAGAACCCAGGAGACTGGGTAGAGGTGGGATCATCACCCCTGCTGGAGGAGAAGCAGAAAATGGAGTAGGAGTCATCTTTCCTTGAAATGCAGCCATTGTTGTATCAGTTAGGCTCTGAGCCTGCTCTTCCATCCATTTCTGATAGTAGTCTTTCACATTCTCTTTGTTTCCCCCCACTGCAGTGTGTCTTTCTCACAGACAGAGAGTCGTGGGTGAGGGACGTATTGCATCACCTCCCTCAGATCTCAGGAACTGACTCTCTTGGGCATGTTCCCATGAAAGATAGGTTGAAGTCCTAACCTCTTGTCCCTATGAGTAGACCGTACTTGGAAATAGAGTCTTTGTAGATGTTAAGATGAGGTCATTAGGGTGGGTCCTCATCCAGTGACTAGATCCTCATGAGAAGGGGAAAAGCCATGTGAGATGATACTCAGAGAGTTGGTTCGTAATGACACTGGGAGATTGGATTGATGTGGCTGCAAACCACAGAATGCCATGGGTGGATGGCCCCCTGCCAAAGGCAGGGAAGAACCGAGGAGGGATGCTCTCTCCCCTTGAGCCTTTGGAGGAACCATGTCCCTCCTGGCACCTTGATTTCAAACTTCTGGCCTCCAGACCTAGGGGAGAATACATTTCTGTTACTCTGAGCCACCCAGCGTGTGTTGATTTGTTAAGGCAGCTCTAGGAACTAATGCCCTTGGGCAGGAGTTGGGAATTTCTTCTGGGTGCAGGGGCAATGCCTAGAGCTTCGAGCGAGGTGCAGCACCATCTGACATCCATGTGGAGAATGTGTGTGTGTGATCTCAAGAGGAGCTGATAAAACCAAGGGAGCCCTTTGGAGGCACACGATATTGGTGATCAGAACCAGAGCAGAGGCCTTGGTGACAATGCACAGGTTCATAAAATATTTCAGAGGTAGACCAGCAGGACTTACTGGTGCACTAGAAGTGGGGATGAAGGAAAGAGAGACCTCAAGGACACTTTCCATGTCTCTGAGGTTTCTGTCAGTTCTCACAGATGATGGGATCCATCAACACTGTTTCCATGTCTAGAAGTGCCACAGATGAATGGTCGGGGATGAGTGTGGGCATCAAAAAATATCACCCATTGCAGGCTGGCTCTATTTGGTTCCGTTCTTAGCTTATGGACAAGTGCTGGGAGGCCTCCCTCACTCGAGCTGCCTAACAGTAACAAATAGTGCCTTCATATCAATCTTAGCAGTAAATGGCTTCTTTTTTGACCAATAGAAGTATGATAATTTTTTTTTTTTTTTTGGTACCAGGGATCGAACTCGGGACCTTGCGCTTGTGAGGCAGGTGCTGGAACCACTGAGCTAAATCCCCAGCCCAGAAGTATGATAGCGTTACAACTTTTTTTTTTTTGCATTGCTGGGGATTGAACCCAGGGCCTCATGCATGCTAGGCAAGCACTCTACCACTGAGCTACATCCCCAGACCTTTTTGCTTTTTATTTATTTTATTTTATTTTTTGGTACCGTGGATCAAACTCGGGACCTTTCGAGGCAGGCGCCAGAAACACTGAGCTAAATCCCCGGCCTTTACTTTTTGTTTTTGAGACAGAATTTTACTAATTTGGCCAGGTGGGACTTGAACCTATGATCCTCCTGCTTCAGCCTCCCAAGTAGCTGGAATTACAGGTATATACCACTGCTCTGCTTTCAACTTGTTTTTTTGTCATCATTCTCTCCAGTCTATGATGACTCAATCTGACACTGATTTAGTAATCATTGGCTAAGTTTATTGAAGGTGGACTTGTTTAATTATCACTCTATTGGGAGATGAGTGCAAGCCTTATTGTCATGAACGGGAACTTGCATTTTTAAAAATGTCACTACATTTGATTGGTGCTTTGCCCTCCCTAAAGGAAGGTCTTTGCACATCTGAGTTACTGTGGTGTGATTTGCAATGTGGAAACTCCTTTATTTGGAAATACCTGGGGTCCCTGATGGGTTTAATGCTTATCCATGAAAACTGGACACAAATGCCCTTTGGGTCACGTATGGCCCTCTGGGATCTCACTCTTTCTTCCCTTTCCAGGAGGATCCTGGACAATACTGAGCATCATGAACCTTTTTCTGCTCCTCAGAAAGTGGCAGCTATGAAGGCTTGGCGCATCTCTCACTGGATCCTGGTTCCATTTTTGCACAGTAGATTTGGGGATATGGATTAGGTTTGATCCAGCTGCCATTTCTGGGAGGGCAGTGGTCTTGTTGAGTGGCTGAAAGAGTCTTCAGTTTGGGTCCTGCTGGCTGTTGTCTTTGTGACCTTGGGAAAGTTCCTGGAGCTCCTCCAACCTCAGATTTATCATCTGCAAAGCTCAAAGTCATGGTGAGACCTAGCTGCAGACTTGTGGTACCCATGAACTTGCGCAGCTCCTGGCATACAGTGTGCACTTGGCTCTGTTACTGCCGTCTATCAGTTATGCTGGTGACCAGGTTCGGATGGGAAAACACATCTCAAGTTCCCAGCAATCTGTTTGCATCTGGGCCTTTTGAACAGGACTTGCTTGGGCCAGAGCCTTATTATCTTTGCTTTTCCCTTTTAACAGACATGGTTGATAACATGGTCACATATTGTCCTCCTAATGGCAAAAGTTTGGAAACATCTAATGTGGCTTTGGAAGTGAAGGGAAACAAATTCTGGGCAGGTTTTTATCTGTAACTGACCTTGAATGTGAGAATGGACAGAGATACTGCAGAGGCACAAAGCCAGCTGTGGGAGGGCTGGTA